GCGCCTTCGGCTCAAAATAACCCACGTGCCAAAGTGCCTCATCTTGGAGAAGCTTGTTCTGAACCTGTTTAGGGCCTTGGGAAGATCTCCAAGACCTCCTTTCGCCCCCAACCTGCGACTCCTCTAGGCTGAGGAATCCTTACGCAAAGACACTGCAGCCCCAATACGGCAAGTCAGGGAACCTCTGAGCCTCAGTTTTCCAGGCTCTCAGAGACATCTGCCTCACTGTGTTATGAGGATAATTTAATAAGACCACACCTCTAAAGATCGTATCACAAAACAAGACCTTAAAATATAGCGTCCAGAAAACATCGTGCTCATCACCATTCCTCTCCAGAACTCCTGGGGGCTTTTTATAACTTCCCCATCCTTCACCTCACACAGCAACTCAGTAGTCTAGAGTTCTAATCTCTTCAGCGTGGCCAAACTTCATAGCATTTTAAATAAACTTTAAATGAACTTAGAAAACGGCTGTCACTCAAGAAATCCAAAAGTAATGTGTACCATGAATTCCTGAGTGGGGTCACGAGCTATAATTAATGTGATTAAATCAAGTTCCTCAAATGGAGAAGCTCCTCCCTTCTGTATCCTATGACCAGCACGCATAGAACATGGCAGGGCTTTGTCTAGTTCAAGGTCTTAGTGTAGCACTATTGTTTTGCTTTTCGTCCAATCCCAGGGAACAGCCCCATGGGGTGTTGTTTTCATTAGCATCTGAAATGACGCACAACATCAGCATTTGAGCCATTGACTACTGAACAGACCAAACAGCAAAACTTACAAATAATGTCTTTTGACTTTCTATTTTCTGTGCTGGGGAATTTCATTAGGTGCATCACTGACCGAGACATCAAATCATGCCACATATGAGTTCCCCAGGCTTATTGATGAGGAAGCGAGCGAGCGCATGGCGATTCCTGTGGAGGCTGTTTTCCCATTTAATGGAATGAGCGAGAAGTGTAACTCGGGTACCACCAGAATTATCACAGGTAACCAGGGCAATGAAAGGTCTAGCCAAGCCACCTACTCAGCAAAGTCATTCTGGGATTTGTTTTTTATTACAAAGGTGGTGAACGAGATTCAAATAACAACTTACTTTCTGAGGGAGACTGTCATCAAGTGCCTCAAGTGGGCTATTGTCACTGATGAACTCATATCCTGTAGGGTGTGTGTGGATGAAAGAGCAGGAGGAGAACAAGAAGGCTTTTTTTAAAAAAATAATTTTTTATTTTTCAATTACAGCTGACATACAATATTGCATTCGTTTCAGGTGTACAACATAGTGACTAGACATTAAAAAAAAATAATTGTTTATTTTTCGATTACAGCTGACATACAATATTGCATTCATTTCAGGTGTACAACATAGTGACTAGACATTTATAAAACTTACACAGTGATCACCCCAATAAATCTAGTACCCACTTGGCACTATACGTAGTTATTACATTCCCATGACTATTTTGCAAGCACCAATTTGTATTTCTTAATCTCTTCACCTTTTTCATAAAGCTCTCCAACACTCCTCCCAACTGGCAACCATCGGTTTGTTCTCTGTATCTATGAGTCTGTTTCTGTTTATTTTGTTCTTCAGATTTCACATATAAGTGAGATCATATGGCATTTGTCTTTCTGTCTGACTTATTTCACTCAGCATAATACCCTCCACGTCCATCCATGTTGTTGCAAATTGTAAGATTTCATTTTTTTAAGGCTGAGTAATATTCTGTTGTATAGATGTACCACTTCTTCTTTAATCACCTATTGATGGGCACTTAGGTTGCTTCCATATCCTGGCTATTGTAAATAATTCTGTAGTGAACATAGGGA